TGAAGAAGTTACGCGCTTCTGATTACGCACCCGTCGCACACCCCTTTCTTACGAACAAGAGATCTTGTGTCGCATTTGCGCAAGTTCCACGTGTTGCAAGAAGTTTGCTTTTTGCTCGCTTTGTGTGCTGTTGAATCAGGCAGGATTATGGCTTTTCAGTTTCCTTTTCTTGAGCCCGACCATCATCTTTTCAGGTCTGCCAGTCTGTAATTTCAAGTGTTTGACAAACAAGGAAATCATTCATAAGGGTGCTTATGGTACTTTGTTCACTGCTGACTGGCAGACTCTTCCTGGTGCGGGTGGGAAATCGGCCGCCGCGGAGAAAGTCGTCGCTAAGAAATTGCTCGACGAGGACATACTGGATAAGAAAACGTTTGTAAAGGAAGGAAGAATCATTCAAGAGTTGAAACATCCAAACATTGTGAAGTTCAAGGGAATCTGCAATAACCCGTTTGCCCTCATTCTCGGATATGTGTATTTCGATTTCCAACCATTCGGTTTCGAGTCAAAAGTTAGCTTCCTTGCAGAATTTCTTGGTGTTCTTGAGTGCTCCGATTGCGACGGTTTCGTCACCCCTCAAGTCATCTCCAACATTTTCAAGGACGTAGCATTGGGTCTTAAACATCTACGCGTCAAAAGTGTCGCCCATCGTGATTTAAAGCCGGCTAACATCTTGGCCACCAATCAATACTACTGTTAACTGACTGCAAGTGATCAGAGAGAAGTCTGGGAACAGTGCCCTTTGATTTTACCGCTGGCATAGGGAGAAAATCTTAAGAGAGCCGACATTTGGTCTTTAGACATGACCCTGTTTGTATTACTAAACCCTTGTGTCAGGTATCCTTACTGAGATACAAGCAGCCTTTAGAGAGGGGGAAACACCTCTGCAAGCACTAGGGGATTTTTCCAGTCATGACAAGAAAATTGCCAACAGAGCCATGCAAATATCAGATTTGGCTTAAGTGTGCTCCATTTGACCCTGATAAACAGCCAAAGGTTGAAGAAGTGGTTTCCATGATCAGCCAGGGATCTACCATGTTTACTCTTAATATTCCCTTGAAGGTTAGTCATTTGCATTTTTTAGAAGGGAAATGTTTTTTAATCTTATTAAGAGCGTCATCTTGTGAAAGGGTCATTAATATAACCCAGCCAGTCATTGAGCTTTGCAAATTTCCTGAAGAGTGCGAAGTGCACCGTGTAGGAAGTGATTTAACAAAATTGAAGTTTGTTAAAATAAACCATTTTAACTTTGTGCAAAGAACCTTGTTCTTCTCTCTTACATGCGTCGCGCATGCCTGTGCCTTTCTACGCGTAAAATTGCTCATGAAATACATAAGTTCCACAAAGAAGCAATTGGAGGTAGTAAGAAGCTGTGGCAAATTATTTGCGAAGTGGCAGAAAAAGTCATAACAGAGTTACTCCGTGTGTTAAATCCACACAGGAATTGTGAGGAACTCTACAATGTACTATCGGCGTACCAACTGATACGGAGTATTGGTCCTGAGATTAGCAAGTACGATTTTTCCGAGAGATCTTGGAGGGCGACTTCGAATTCTCCTAAAAAGGGCGGACTAACCTCGTCCATGCCTTATCTTCTATGTTATCGAAGAAAGATTTCTGCGTTGCCATCTACACCTGTGAACCACTGGTCTTCATAGTAGGCCTCGGAAGCGCCTGCTTCTTTATTGTAGACACTCATCCTGTTCCCACTGAAGTTGGTGGTGAAGGCACCAGCATTCCAATAGTTTTTCCATGGGTAAAATAAGAGGAAACGGCATGCAAAGGAGTCTGTCGCTGGATATGGCAGCGCCTGCTTTTTAGAGGTGTAAAAAATAATACGTTGCAGTCGCTCCCTATATGAAAAGTACCAGTCCTATTTCTTATGATTATTACAATATTATCCTTTTCTGTTATTACTCTTACGAAAGTGTAACAATGGAAATGGATCAATATAGCGTGATGTCCAGGTAACTCCCTTTCGAACTGGGTATCCCCTAAACCGGAGAGAACATCAGCAAATTTACCATCCATATATTTGAAATTAACTTTGAACGGGTTGTCCAATAGATGATATTGCGAAGGCTCGTTTTCAAGATAATTTTTCTTTCACTTCGGCGTTTCTCTATCTTCGACTACTGACGAGCTGGGATTAGCAGAGAGAAATGTTATGCTATCCTATCATTTAAGAAAAACACAGCTGTAAGAATAGCTTGCTCTATTACCACCAACTTAAAGCCGAGATGCAGGTATTCATATACTGTGCGAGCATTATAGTGAATGTAGTTTGACTGAAAGCATGGTTTAGCTTTACTTTAAAGCGTCACTTGTAAAATCAGTGGTCGGTTTTCATCTTTTAAGACTAGCACTTTCCTGCACAAACCATTAAGTTAAATATATCTCAGATGTAACTGTACTCATTCATGTCTGAACAGAAAAAAAGCTTATTTGGTTTACATTCCAACGAATGCAGTAACACTGAAACCCCAGCCACTCCACTACGGTAAAATTTTGTATTTTTTTCGGCAGTTACTGACTGATTATTGCAGAGTCAGTAAGAATTTTAAATGCACGAGATTTAAACTGCATAAATTCCATGTTGCCATACTTGATACTGTAACATTTACAGGTGATTGCTCACCGATTGAAAACAGCGGTCCCAAAGAAAGTGTAGGAAGGGCAAAGCTACCTGTTCTAATGATTGTGATAGCGTTAGTTATGGCTCCGACGTAGTCCAAATCACAGAAAGATGGCAAAGGCCAGATAGAAGAGGAACTGTGAAAAATTCTGTGAGCATCAGTTTAGCGTCCATGGGGAGAGATGAGAATGTGGATTAACTGAATGTTAAGGGTTCCACGGATGACACTATTTACAAAAAACTGGAGCAGTTTATAGTCTCGACCACGTAGAGCCAAAACGAATACATTCTCCAAGACCAAAGTCAACCTAAGTGCAGCCCGCGAGCTGGAAGAGGAAAACCAAGACGATAGCGGAATCCCTTCATGTTCCAAATGACCCTCGAATAGGTCCACGTAAGTGCCAAAAAACTAAACGAAATTTTTGTTTTTCGGTTATTAACCTTTGTAACCTCCATTAGTACTGACGAGAATTCTCCACTAATTAGCTGTGCTGTGACTTATGCAGGCTAGCTAACTTATTAGTGCCTCCTTTACTTTGAACAGTCCTTCTTAAAAGTATTCTTAAGAAAACAGGGACACTGAGTTGTTGCCTTTCCGAATAGCATACACACGTCACATAGGAAGAGAATTGTTACATACTAATGATAGCGCCCACTGAACAAATCAATTTCTTTCTTGCATTTGGAAACCAGTAGGTTGACTGACGTCGAAATAGAATCGCTAGTGCTGTTACAACAAAAGAAACAAAACAAAAAAAAAGGCGGCGATGATGAGCTCGAAGTTGGCTCCGGCAATGATATCTACGATCCCTACAGCAATTAAGACGACTCTGAGAAAGCTCGGGAAGGTAAAGTAAGATTAGAAAAGTACGAAAAAAAAAGCAAACAAAAATGAAAAGTAAAGGCAACAGACTACAGTTTAGACGATGAATTTTGAGAGGTTGGAAAAAAGTTATGGGAGACCACAAGTTTAGTTTCCTCTCAACTGCCCAGAGCCGATCAGAATTGCGATTTTAAAAGAAACAGACGGTTTTGAAACACCTTACGTGTATCATTTTAAGAAGAGGTTTTGTATAAATGTTTTATAATAGGTAGACGTTCATATAAGATATTTCTAAAATACAGTTTCGCACGAAGCATAATATATTTTCCCATAATGATAGAGAAAATGGCTGCAAATACAAGTATCAAGATTTTTTTTGCTTATGATTGGTGTTTCGTTTGTCTTTTTAGGCTTCAAGATAAGTGGGCAACCTGTTTTTAAAGTTTCTCAGAGGGTTCTTTCAACAAAAGAGGTCATAGATATCTGCATCGCAGGTAATTTTGATGCCAAGAAAGTTTGCAGTAGGGTGCCAGACGGAGTTACCGAGTCGATCTAAACATCGTTGGTGAAGGAGATTTGACGACGGATGGTAACGGAGTATACGCACGTCACTCTTGCCGGAGTACAGGGCCACAAAAAGCAGCCGATTTTACCAAATTAGTTACTCAACTGCAAAATTCTGACTTTGCCTAAGATGTTTCATTTGGTCTTCGCCACGGAAAAGATACCTCCCCATACACATTCGCAGCAAAATATTTGCATATCGAATAGTTAAAATTTTTTTTCAGGAAGCAGTCCCAAATCTCAATGCGGTATCGATACGACTTGCAACTGTGGACCTTTGTATTTGGTAACTTTAACTTTCCCACATCGAATGTTTGTTTATGGCAATGAAACTGACAGAGAAACTTCTCTAGAAACAGTCTTTGAGAAGGTCTTTCCAATTCATGGAACTTCTTCAAGTGACACTAGTATCGATCTCCGATGTTTTGACCATGTCAAAACAAACATATTAAAGAAGTCAACAGAACTGAAGGTACCGTCACCAAAGCATACGTAAATAGCTCGCGAGCTTCTAGGCCCTGAGCATGATGGAAGAAGGATTATGGGTCTTGTAGATTACACCTCTGAAGAGCGGTTTGACATAGGGCTGAAGGTTACTGAGCGCCAATGGCCCGCAGTGGCATTTACCAAGTAGCTTCACTCAAGTGAAGGCCGTCTTCGACCTTTATCTGAGAGTGTGACAAAAAACGTATTGGCTTTGCTGCTGGCCTTGGAAACCCGCCGACCGCTCTAAGGAATAAAACAATACGTCAAATTCTCAATGAAAATAACTCACCTTACTTTCACAGCGTATCACTTGTTATCTGACCATTTACTTTGATGAAAAGTACCCACTACATAAGAAAAGCCAAAGCCTGAACACTCCATTTCCGAACGCCCAATCCGAGGAGAGAAAAATGCCAGTGCAAAATCGTGTCTCTAAAACGTAGTTACATGTCCAGATCATTTGCGACGCATCTCTTATATTTGGCTTGACCTCGATGTTTTCGAAATAGGGTTTCCACTTTAATTTTTCTTACAGATTGGTAATTTAAGATATTTCATCTTCCATTCTGTTTCCCAGGTTT